TACTCCTACTCCTGCTGCTGCTGCTGCTGCTGCTGCTGCTGCTGCTACCACTACCACTACCACTGCCACTGCCACTGCCACTGCCACTGCCACTGCCACTGCCACTGCCACTGCCACTGCCACTGCCACTACCACTACGACTACGACTACGACTACGACTACTACTACTACTACTACTACTACCATGACAACCGTCACCTCAACAACACAGAGGTAAGTACCCATCTGGGCCCAAAGAAGTGCGGTGAAGTTCCCCCGCTAAGTACGTGTCGAAATCAAGAGGTCGGTCTCAGGCATATATACATAGGAAGTCCTTCCCATGCATGCATGCATGCATACATACATAACATTTACATCTATATACATTTACGTATGAATACTAGCACAAACTACCAACAAATACAAACAGAAGGACTAGCACGCACATGAACATGAATACTAGCCACTGGTGGCAATAATGCTACTACCGACAATGTGTAAGTTCATTCTGAGTCCTAACATGTGTATATATGTGTATAGATACATATATATATATATAAATGTGTGTGTTTGTATGTGTATATATGTATATAGGAAGCATGTATATACACATACTTTCAAATCCATCTTGCCCCCAAACCGCGGGGCCTTCATCGCCTTCGCCACCAGCGCAACAGCTGAAGCTTCCGAGGTCTTCTGCCTCGTGCTTGCATCCTGGAGTTCGGCTGGTCATCAACGCACATGTTTTTCCACAAGGGGCTCGGCTGCTGCCCTTACTGCCCAGCTTGACCCACAAATCAGAGCACATTAATAGTGGAAATGATAATCATCATACGAGAGTAGTGAGAAAATAAAAACAATAGTCTAGCCGATAGTCATAGTCATACTGATGATGACAATAACAATACATACAAGACTGCTCACTAGCCATTTTACTCATGACCAAAATAATGAGTCGAATACGTCGAACAAGACGAAAATTGAAAAGCATGCATAGAGAATGTGCTGTACAGCCGCGGCGATCGAAATTGAATAGTAGCAACAGCAGGAAACAATGGTTGCAACAATAACTGATCATCGCAATAGTATACCCACAATTGGGAACAGTCTGTTTTGAGCGCTATTCGGCTGAGATCCAGTCGCTCCCGGAATGTGTGACAGCGGAGAGAATTGTTGCCGAGCGATCTTCATACAAGGCGAGTGCAGCGAACTGACGAAGACCAGTGCTAGACTGACGGGGATACAACCATTGACGAGGTTGCAAGCAGCCAGGCAGTCCTTCGCAAAGCCACTTATGGCTGCAAGCCCGCACTCCTTCAGAGGAAGGGCTGCTTTGGGCGATCCCAGGCTTGGGATGGCTTGGGGCCCCTTCACCCCAACCCTAAACTCCTAAACCTCCCTTTTTTTGCAACGAGCTTTCCACGTCGCCCTAACCCTAAACCCTGAACCATCCTTCACCCCAACTCTAAACCCGGAACGTAACGAAAGGATGTGGCCTGGACGGAGGGGGACTCGGCGTGCTGCTTCATTGCAGCGAGTACGAGCCTCAGGCTGCAGTGAGCTACTCACCAGCAAAGGGCTTCGGCTCAGAAATACTAGACTAACAAATGTGCGATACTTTGCGATACTAACATAGACTAACATACCGTATAATATATGAAGTATTCCCCAAGTAAGCCACCAAGCCCAAAGCCTGACGTCAAGTCCGCCTAGCCGCGAGTGTCCATGCGATGTACCCATGGAGTATCTACTTTGACTCTATACCAACTGCACAGTAATCACTTCAAGGGTTATAAGTTATAAGTTATAAGCATGTTAGGACACAGCATCCAAGAGCATTCTAAACCCAAAGCCCGAAGCCTGAGGCCCAAAACCCCAAAAAACCTACACCCCTATCCCTAAAACCCTACACCCTAAACCCCCCTATCCCTAAACCCTAAACCCCAAAAACCCTAAACCCCCCTGTCCCTAAACCCTAGTCCTGCGAGCCCTCTGCCGATCTCGGGCTCTGGCTCCCAGGCACCGAGATCCAAGGCTTCACGTCGGAGTTCGGCACCGGACTCCTCAAGAGGTCTAGAGGGCAGGGCCTTCGGAATCAGAACCGGGTTTTCGGGTATATTCTGATGTTATAGTGCGTTTGTCATCAGGAAGAACATCAAACAGGTTCGAACTTCAAGTCTTGAGATCTTGTCTTGAGCACGCACACACACACAAACACACACACGCACCAAACAAGTCCTCTGTGAGGTTGTGTAGAGCGGCGGCACCCCAACCTTTGCGTCGCAGGCTCTAAGTTGTGGGGAGCTGCTTGCTGTAGTGATTCCATCGGCAGCAGCCTGCACCGAGAAAATTCAAACGAAACCAAGTAGGGCAGTAGGGCTGACCTTCACTGGTGCTGTCAATTCTGCGGCTCCTTTAGAAATCAGCAACGGCTCCGGCAACCCATCATGAAGGAAGAGCTCTTGTTCCTATATCGGTGAAGTCAAAACCGCTGTCGGGCTGAAAGCTGAAAGACATGCATATTCGGCAGCCGTGGCAGCAGCGACAGCAATTACGTCTCGGAAGATGATCTAATCAGCAACTTTCCTACTGGTTGCCACTACAGCTACCACATTTGTGTGCCGGGAATATTTGACCAAGATTGCTTCCCGCCGACTTGTTTCACCTTTTAGACCAAGATTGCAAAGGGGGAGTCAAGATAGCCAAGCAATCTTGCAATCCTGGTCTCCAAAAGGTAAACTAGTCGACGAGCTCGTGGGGCAAGTGGGGGGGAGCAAGATTGCCACCAGCAATCTTGCCATCTTGGTCTCCAGAAAGTAAACTAGTCGGCGGGCAAGTGGGGCAAGATGACCACGATTGCAAGATGACCTGGTCATCTTG